TAAAGATCGACCAGACTACACAGCGCTACAACCCAGAAGACAGAAATCTTCATACTCATCGCCCTGATGATGGAGGCAGTATGACCTCTGAAACGTTGGTAAACATCGACCAGACTACACAGCGCAACAACCCAGAAGACAGAAATCTTCATACTCTGATGATGGAGGCAGTATGACCTCTGAAACGTTGGTAAACATCGACCAGACTACACAGCGCAACAACCCAGAAGACAGAAATCTTCATACTCATCGCCCTGATGATGGAGGCAGTATGACCTCTGAAACGTTGGTTAACATCGACCAGACTACAGAGCGCAACAACCCAGAAGACAGAAATCTTCATACTCATCGCCCTGATGATGGAGGCAGTATGACCTCTGAAACGTTGGTAAACATCTACCAGACTACACAGCGCAACAACGCAGAAGACAGAAATCGTCAGGATTAAATTTATTTTACAACTTAGAGTTCTGCCTAAATCTCTAAAACAATCTGATTGATTAAATGTTTGAAGCAAGATACTCATTTAAATAACATTTAAAAATTTAGCTTGTAATTCAATACCAATCGCTTCCCCATTACAAAGGCCAAGTCGTTTACACTTTTAAAAGAAAATATTCATGTTTATCCTGAGAATAAAAAACCCTGAATATTATGCATAAAGAATGTGACACATATAGTTATTACTATGCTTTAAGTGGTTGTTTTCCGACAAGAATGTGTATTAATATCTGATTCACCCCCACACATTCTGTGTTTTCCCAAGTCATTGTCTTTATTTTAATTCCGGTAACAATATTAGGCTGGCCACTGCTACAAGTTATGAACCTTTTCATTGCGTAATTTTCTGCAATCCTTTGCTACTCCTTCACCAGTTTGTCTGAAAAGCCATTTTCTTTTCACTTTATTCTCAAATAATCAATGTTCTTCCGCGCAGAGACGAAAGTATTAAACATAAAACAGCCTTTATAAGTTTAATTTGGAATTAACTTGTTTCCATACGACACGTGAACTAAACGTTTACACAGAGTCACCAGGGATGCAAACTGAAAGGATATAGCTTCAGCATCACACGGAGTCATCGACACATGACTACGCCTAAGCTTACATATCCTGCCTCAACTTCCGCTTCGCGGATTAATTTGAGCTCAAGGTTTGCAGCAACATGTCTTCGTGGTGTTTGGTGTTTAAAAAATCGATAAAATAATCATGTCTCACTACCTCTTGGCAATTAAAAAATCTGTCCGTGGTTATTTAATAAATATTGTACACAGAGATGTTCTTTAAACAAAATTCAGTAAGAAAGGACCACAAGTATAAAGCGGGAGTCACATTCAGGATGAAGACAGGCCGGTTCATAGCATTCAGTTACATTTAGTTTGTAGAGAATTTACAAACAGCTAACACTCTCGAAAATATTTAACCTAGAGATCTATTGACGTGAATCCTCTGACCATGTAAGGACTTTAAGTGAGATTTCAGGTTCTCACGGCTGTCTTCTGAGCTGTAGTGTCGTTTAGTCAGGTAGACGTTTACCAACGTTTCAGAGGTCTTTGCTACATCTGTCATCGCCCTGGTGATGGAGGCAGCAGGGACCTCTGAAACACTGGTAAATTTTTACCAGAATATACGGCGCTACGGCTCAGAAGACAGAAATCTTAGTTACGAGGCTGTTCATGCTAAAAGTAATTGGTGTGTTAAACGATAACATTACCAACATTACCAACGAGGCTTTAAAGATCGAGTCACTACATTATAAACTTTACATCTTGTGTCCTTGAGAAGCTGACAGTCGTAAAAAATTTTAAGCATTTTCCGCCTTTCACGGAAACTTCATTACCGGCTACTAATTCTTATACGAAGTCAGATAAATTAAGTTCACACCTTTATATTTTTATTTCTTTAAGATTCGTTTTATTACTGTGGCCGAAATTCCACCAAATTTTTAAGTTAATTTTAATTCTAGCCACGATCTGCCAAGCGTTCCAGCAGCCAATTACCCCATTCGAATGTACTTTAAACCCATTAGTAGACCACATCTTTTATTTGTAGTAATAACGATGAAAATCGCTTAATTTTAATTTTAACAACAACATTTTAATAATAAGTTTGTGTATAGACTGGAATATAATAAATAAATATATACTGGACATCTTTTATGGTTCCATGAAATCTTGAAATTTGTTAGCGGTTAGCATACAAGTTTAGTATTAAATGGTTCTGGGGGTCACTAATACCAAAAACAATAAAAGCTTCTATCTGTCAGTGGGCCTATGGACAATGAAACTAAGGTGTAACCGCCATGGCACTGGTTGAGATGTGGGAAGTTGAAGCAGACGCAGGTAAGCCTGAAGTAGGCCTACAGCACTTCCGTCAGGTGGACAGCGGAAGACAGAGCAGCAGGCCGTCTGCCGTTGGACATCCGAGACGACTGCCAGAAATTTGACACTTTTCTGCGGATAGTACGAGCTACAAGCTTGGGTTGGTAAAGAATCTAAGGGGTTTTCAACTCGCTGACCGCGATCATTAACATCCACACGAGCAGAAAAAGGTTTCGTGAATACGGAAGGGCCACTGATATTTGGGATTGCTTTTAGGGTTTAGATGGATTACAGCATCAGAAAACCACGAAGCGGTGTCAGGGTTGAAGACGATAAACATGGCTAATACCTAATTTAAGAAATCAAGTCATGGTGATTTGAAATGTTCCTCAAAAGTAAGTTTAAATTTCTATATGAATTGTATAATATGTTGGTAGTTGTTGAAAACAAGTAGAGACATGCATTGGCGTATAATTTAGTACCAATTTTCGAAAGCTGTTTATCTACATCGGATAATTTTATCTTTTTTAATCTTTCCGACTACCTAATTAAATTAGTACCAAACATTACCTTAATATGGATATCAAAATGTCTACTTAAATACAAATACAAAGACAGTTTTTGAAATGAATTTCAAGTTTTCAATTCTTTTAACTTAAATTTAAATAAAAATCTGTATTCTTTTCCTCATTTTATGACCATTAAACAGCTATCGTGATTTATGCCAGCCCAAACGACTCTCCAGATTTAAATGGACTTCGTGTTTCTCAAAAGCAGTTCCAAGTAAAGAGAGAAATTTCATGCTACAATGACGCAACAGGCCCATATCGATAATCTAAATCCTTGACATATCATATCGATTTATCGACAGACACTGACATCCCTGTTAACAAGCACGGTCGTGTCGACCCATAAACCCTGCAGTCAACGTCCCTACTCACGAACGAATATCGGTCTTTCTGTCTGAATAGGTTACATTTACCAACTGAGCAAATCTGATCTTGAACAAGATGCATTCGTGATGCTGGCCGTGTCACAATTGTGTTATTATCTGATTTGAGCACGTGGACAAGTCGCACCTGTGTTTACCCCGCGGCTAGCCTCACCTGTAAGGGTTCTGACCGCACCAGCGCCCACCGGGTTGTAGCCTTGTGTTTGCTGATGTACTTAATGGCGAGAGCGGAGGAACAATTGAATACGGTGATGTAACAGAGGACACTGCGGCTGCGAAGGGACTTTTCCCTAGGCCCTGAGGTTTGTTGAAACAAAAGTAGGAAGAAAGAGACGTATGGGGAAACGTGGGAACAATAACGACAAAAGATGTCTTTTCTGACATTGTAGCGTTCAAAAATCTATACAGGCAAATACTGAAATTGTACACGGAGAATTAGCTTTAGGGCTGATAGCACTCCGGCGTCGAATTCGGAAGTTCCCGAATTCGAATCTCGGCCTGAAAGCTATGTCGATTGACTTTTTCATTGTCTTACTCAGTCCCTCTAGTCAAATGTTGGGATAGGAGGGCACCTTAAATGAATAGAGTACAATGTAAGATTTGAGGTTTTCACAGCGGTGAGTGTGAAGATTTCTGTCTTCTGGGTTGTCGCCCTGATTACGGAGGCAGTATGACCTCTGAAACGTTGGTTAACATCGACCAGACTACACAGCGCCACAACCCAGAAGACAGAAATCTTCATACTCACCGCCCTGATGACGGAGGCAGTATGACCTCTGAAACGTTGGTTAACATCGACCAGACTACACAGCGCCACAACCCAGAAGACAGAAATCTTCATACTCACCGCCCTGATGACGGAGGCAGTATGACCTCTGAAACGTTGGTTAACATCGACCAGACTACACAGCGCCACAACCCAGAAGACAGAAATCTTCATACTCACCGCCCTGATGACGGAGGCAGTATGACCTCTGAAACGTTGGTTAACATCGACCAGACTACACAGCGCCACAACCCAGAAGACAGAAATCTTCAATACAGTACAAAGTTATAATTCTGCAGATTTCTTAACACAGACATGATACGTGTTGTGTCGTCCTATGGAAACAACACGGATTGAGTCGAAATTCTTGAGTAGAAGAGAACACTTGGGAGACAAAGGCGTAGATTGAAATATAAAGGATGCGAGAATGTGAGGATGTGAACTGGATTCAGTTGGCTTAGGATAGGCACTAGAGGCGAGGTCTTGCGACAAGATAATAAAACTTTGGCTTGCGTATAGAGCGAGAAAATTTTTTACCCGCTGAGGAAGGAGTCATACATTATCATATTCAGCTGAAACAGGAAGTATAAGAAGAACGGGGAGTTTTCCATGTATCAACAGCCACAAATAATATTTGTACTTGTATCTGCTATGAAACCATGATTCAACAATAAATTAATTTACCACAGTTAAACGCAGTTAGACTTTTATTGTCCATCTTGCACCTCAAGTCATATGAAACCAGGACATGGGATTCCCCCTCCACTTATATCCTCCCGTCACGTGAAGAACGGAAGTGACGTTGTTTTTCCACACCACTGAACCATCCAAGTACTAACAGGATCAAGCTAGACTTTGCTGGCCGCCTCCTACGGCTAGCGAGGGGGTTGAAGGGCAGGGGGACGGAGGACCAGTGGCAAGGTATCATGGGGGTCCATCAGTTGACGATGTATTCCGGTTAATGAAAGTGGTGTCATTAAGAATGGCGACTGTGTGTACGTGTGTACGTAGCAGTGCCTGGCAGTGTTAGAAATGCTGAAGACGCTTCAAGGGACAGCCACGTGGGAAATGATAGGACACGCATTAAGGTGTTACTGGAGCCAGGCCAGTGATAAGGTATGGTAAGTAACTATAAGATTCTCTAAAGGTTCGTGACACTGGTTTGTAAATTACGTTTACCGCTGCTGTATTCGATATTATTCATTGATCGAGGAACATATAGGCCTGTAATATGCGCGCGATCAGTAACTGACTGTACTAATAAGTACAGTCAGTTACTGACAGATTTGTTTCGGGGCTGAAAATTTAACCAAGAACCTATCACCATAAGTAGCGAATGTGTTATGACACAACTGACCACTTAAGTTAAGATTAAACCGAACAGAACGAGGTGCTTAAGATAAATTTATACATGTATTAATCATAAATCTAGGAAAAGGCGTTTTGTAGATCTTAACCAAGAGGAAAATATTGAAACATGTAATAACTTTTGAAGCAAAGTAAGAATTTTCGTAAGATTAAAAGAAATGCAACTTTTGTTGAATTTGTATTTGTACAATATAATATAACAAATGGCGACTCCGCAAAAATTAAAAGGCCTAGGCCTATTTAGCTTTCAGTTAGAACGCGGCAACTTATGTGAATGTTTAGTGCAGACATCAAATTCACCCTCACAATTCGTGTTTTTTATGTAACATATTTTGTTTGTGAACCATTAAAAATGTTACGAAATTTCGATAAAATTTAACGTATTCGGAAGATACAGAAGCATATATTATGCATACAAATATATTATTATGTTATATACTAATTGATTTGTAGTTCATGCAAGCCTGAGCAACAAAAATGAGGCATCTGAAGTACGCTCATGATATCTGAGAAGTGTCTCGGAATCAAATTCATGAACAGTGGCTTTAAAGTTATTGATCTAGACACCAAAACAAATACTTTAATATTACGACACGCGGTTGGAACCAAAGTTCATTACATCAAATCTTAAGGGCTGGAACTAGGAACAAAAATAAGCAGAAAACAGCATAACTCATAATAGAGCTAGTACATAAAAAATGCATTTTTAAAAGCAAAGAGAATTGGATGGGAGATGGAAGGATAATATTAAGCGAAATTTAAAAATATAAACTGTGAAGATAAAATGGAATCACCTGGCTCAAGGTAGGGGTCAATTGTGAGTTCGTTTGAACACGGGAATAAATTATTAAGTTATATAAAAGTCAGGGAATTTTCGTGACTGGAAAAGCGAGTTTCGTGTTTGTCATGTGCGGTCTACAGAATACTGTAGAGGCATCAGTGTTCACGTGCAGTCTGAGCTACGCCACGCAAACAGCATAACATTTGGTTAATGTACACAGAATGATTCAATTAGGATTTGAGGTTTTCGCAGCGGTGAGTATGAAGATTTCTGTCTTCTGGGTTGTTGCGCTGTGTAGACTGGTAGATGTTTACCGTTTCAGAGGTCCTTGCTGTCTCCGTCATCAGGGTGATGAGTTCACTTGGCAAACTTCTATCAGGCCCATCTTATGATAATTCAAAGCTCTAGTACATTCTGAAGGAGTTTGTTAGGGAGATTTGTAACAGAAAATGCAAAGAAAGGTTTTTCTTAATAGATTCGCCACTGTTTCCGAGTTACGACTCTTTACGTTGCTGTCGCTTTTATTATTGAGACAGTCAATTTTTACAAAATAGAAACAATTTATTTTAACACAATAGGTCAACTGATTTCCCAATTTGGAATAAACGGAAGACAAAAAGTTCTGCACCCCCCCCGCCCCTCCCAGTATAATTTTTCAATCGTCAATATTCTTAAGCACTTTTCCGTTCGTGTGCTGGAAACTTCTCCGACCGGACACTGCGCTCCGAGTCTGATAAACGCGGTTCAACTGTCTGCACTTCCACGAGCTATCAGCACGGATCCCGCAGCAAACAATCACTACACCACAAAACAATATCAACGTAAAGACTTTGAAACCGATACAAATTAGCGAGAAAGCTATTAACATTTTTTGATCCAAATGAACTCACCAACCACCAGCTTAAGTACTGTACTAGAGCACTAAGCCATCTGTATAATAACGAGACCAGTTCGTAACGGGCACATGTCTCAAGTACCAGTAAGTACACTAGCCGTATCTAAATAAGACGAAGGACTTGGCTTTACGGACGGAAATTCATCGAAAGATTATATACGCAACGCTCAAGAACCCAGATTCAATTGCAGCAGTCCGGATCACGAAGATGATGTCTACAGAATGCAGGCACTACCATTCGCTTGACAACATCGGATATTCCCGATCTCTTACTAAAAACTCAAATATGAAAATCGAAATTGTTTTACCTGTTGATGTCTGTCTTCCGGGACAGCAAGGAGCTATAAAACGTTGGTAAACTTCTACCAGGCTACACGGCGCGACAACCCAGAAGGCAGCCATCTTCAGGTTTGCCATCATTTGTCTTCGTCTTTATCCAATTCCATTCCATTAAACAGGATTTTAGCCCGTATCAAAATATTTCCATTTGAAATGTTTCTTCCGGGGACAAGTTCCAGAACACTTAAGTTGCGGACTTCGTCCATGTTGCAGTATACCACGTGTCGTAACTGCATACCGATCGGTCTCCTAGCGCATTCAAACACAATACCACTGTGCGAGCAGTTTACCTCCTGACAAATTGATATCTTACTGTTTCAAATTTCAACAGCGCGTGAACTGCGATTGGGTTCAACTTCTCTGTTAGGAGCCCACAGGAGTATCATCAGTACTCCATAGTATTTTGCCTTCTTTCGCTTCACAGCTGGATCCAGTGTAGTTCTTAGAGGAAGATTGGCGCTGGGGCGCCTGCAATCTGCACTAAGACTACCTGCTTTACACAGTTGCTGAAGAAGTTGCCGACACATCACGGCAAAACTCATAAATGACGATTCTTTACCTATTTTAATTACTTATAAAAAAAGACACAGTAGAAAAAGTGAAGGAATTCTGTTATTTATTAAGCAAAATCACAAAAGATAGACGAAGCAAGGAAGACATTAAAAGCAGATTAGCACAAGCGAAAAGAGCCTTCTTCAGGAAGAGAAGTCTACTAGTGTCAAACATTGACCTGGGATTAAGAAAGATTTTTCTGAAGTTGTATGTGTGGAGCACAGCGAAAGATGGTCAGTGGGAAAGCCAGAAAGAATGAGGGTAGAAGCATTTGAAATGTTGAAAATTAAGTGGACTGATAAAGTACGAAATGAGCTGGTCTTTGACAGGATAGGCGAAGGAAGAAGAATCTTGATAGAAGAAGAGATAGGATAGTGGGACACATTCTGAGGTTAATTTGGTAATGGAAGGAACAGTTGAAGGGAAGAATTGTAGAGGGAGACAAAGATTGGAACATGTGACGCAGATTTTTGAGGATGTGGAAATTAAGAGATTGGCGCAAGATGGGCGAAAATGGAGGACCGCATCAAACCAGTCGAAAGACTGACGACAAACAAACAAAAAAATAAAGATTCATAACAACGTGTTAGTATGTCTGTCCGTATCGATCTTCCCCTAATCACTTTTTAAACAACTGGCGAATTTTTTAATGTCATGCCTATATTACGT